CTATGTGTCTGTTGATGGCCAATTAGGCAGAGCGCCAGGCTTCCAGGAAATCTTTATCATTTCTGGACTTAGAATAGAATAGATTAGAGCTGGAAGGGACCTTGGAGGTCTTCTAGTCCAGCCCTCTGCTTAAGCAGGGGAACCTATACCATCTCAGACAATTGACTGTCTAGCCTCTTCTTAAAAATCTCCAGTGATGGACGCCCACTATTTCTGGAGACAAGCTGTTCCACTGGTTAATTGTCCTCAATGTTAGGAACTTTCTCCTTAATTCCAGGTTGCTTCTCTCCTTGACCAGTTTCCAACCATTGTTTCTCGTCCTGCCCTCTTGTGCTTTGGAGAATAACGTGACCCCTCTTCCTTGTGGCAGCCCCTCAGATACTGGAACACTGCTATCATGTCTCCCCTATTTCTTCTTTTCTTTAGACTAGCCAAACCCAAGTCCCGCGGCCGTTCTTCGTATGTTTTGGTCTCCTGGCCTTTGACCATCTTAGTTGCTCTTCTCTGCACTTTTTCCAAACTCTCAACATCTTTTTTTGTGATATGGCGACCAAAATTGGCTGCAGTATTCCAGGTATGATCTTACTAGAGTTTTACAAAGCGGTACTAATACTTTGCGCGATCTTGATTCTATGCCTCTGTTTATACAATCCAGGATTGTATTAGCTTTTTTGGCTGCCGCTGCACACTGCTGGCTCATAGTCAAGTGATCGTCCACTGGGACTCCAAGGTCCCTCTCACAGTTGCTGTTTTTGAGCCAGGTCTCGCCCAATCTGTATTTGTGCCTTTGGTTTTTCCTGCCTAAGTGTAAGACTTTGCTTTTCTCCACACTGAAACTCATTTTGTTGGATAGGGCCCGTTGTTCAAGTTTGGCTTGGTCTAGGACGGTCACAGTGTCACTTGATACCATGGTTAAATCTGTTCACCTGTTGTGAAATTAAAGTGTCTTCTTACATATTCTAACTTTGCTTGTCCATCAGCAGAGAACGATCCCTTTCGCCCCCCAAACCACGATGAGATTGGCAGCGTCCCTTCTGATGGACACCCGAGAAAGCTTGAAGAAGGAGATCAGGGACCTAAGAGTCAAAGTGTCCAACCTTGAGGTGGAAAACCCAGAAATTGTCAAGATTATGGTCAGAAAAGAGCAGAACAGCCTGGAAGGCCAAACCTTTTGTCTGGAAAAGGAAGAGAACGAACTTCAGGAGATGTTCCGAGAACTGGAGGACACCAGAGCAACTCTGGAGGTGCAAAACCAGACCTTGACACAGACCAACAAGGTGCTCCATTCCAAAATCAGGAAGGTCTCCAGCAACCTGGTCAGGTTTCAGGCCTCCAAGGCTAGTCGGGACCAGGATATTTTGCGTATGAAGCAGGAGGTGGAGAACATCGCGGCGGACGTTAAACGGTTGGAGGCGAAAATGGAAACGGCCAAGCAGAGGTACGAGGCGAAGAAGCAGCAGTCCGCCAGGCTGGAATGCATGATGGTTGAACTGGAAGGGATCTGCAAGGCTCAGGACAACGAGATCCTTTTTCTGGAGGAGCAACTGGGGCCGCCGATGCGAAATACTCTGTTTTCTGTCTTATCCGGAGGGACCTGGTTGCTGGTGGCTTTAATTGCCGGCCTGGGATTTTCAAACCTGTTGCCCTTCCTGGTGAATTTGTGGTGCCTGAGAACGGACCGCTGACATTTGCGAATTTGTTGGGCAGGTATCGGACATCCTGTCCTCGAATCACCCCTCTGGAAGTTGAGAACCTTGTTGCCTTTTTGAGCGAGAATCTTAAAAAGCTAGGAAATAAAGGGGAAAAAAGGGTGTTCCTTTTTCTACGTTCAGGAATTGTAATGTAGTTCTTTCATCCCGATACTGGGATGAAAATCTGAAATTGGTTCAGTTAAATCTGAAGCTATTGCAGGGAGCCTTGGGCTGACCTGTTAAGTCCTCGGCTTACGACCACAACGGAGCCCAAACTTTCTGTTGCTAAGCGAGACAGTTCTTAAGTGAGTTTTGCCCTATTTCACAACCCCGGTTGTTAGGAGAATCAGTGCAGTTGTTAAGTCAAGTCACGCGTTTGTGAAGTGAATCTGGCTTGCCCATGGACTTTATAATAGTAATAATAATAATAATAAAGTTGGAAGGGATCTTGGAGGTCATCTAGTCCAACCCCCTGCTCATGCAGGAAACCCTATACCATTTCGGACAGATGGCTGTCCAGTCTCTTCTTAAAAACTTCCAGTGTTGGAGCATTCACCGCTTCTGGAGGCAGGTTGTTCCACTGGTTAATTGTTCTGACTGTCAGGAAGTTTCTCCTTAGTTCTAGGTTGCTTCTCTCCTTGATTAGTTTCCATCCGTTGCTTCTTGTCCTGCCTTCAGATGACATTGCTCGTCAGAAGGTCGTAAAAGGAGATCACATGACCCCGGGACACCGTCCTAAATGCAGGCCAGTGGCCAAACATCTGAATTTTGATCACGTGACCACGGGGATGCGGCAACGGTCCTAAGCGTGAAAAATGATCATAAGTCACTTTTTTTCACTGCTGCCGTAACTTGGAACAATCAGAAAACGAACGGGTTAATAAGTCGAGGACTTAACCTGTGATGGCTTTAGATTTTAACTGGAAAGGTTCTGGAACAAAAAGAAATTGTTTAGTCGAACTCAGACATCAAACCCGCGACGTCGCACGACGTATCGGGACTGTGTTGCCATTGCCGGCAATGGGGTGGGCACGGCTTCCGCGTGATGCGTCTGGCCCGCGGGCCGGCAGTTTGACACCCCTGGTCTAACTGTTGCTTTCTTGCTTTTTGTAATCGGCTTTTGCACCAGGGAAATCTCATGCAGGGGTGGGAAACATGGACATGGATGAGATATATACTGAAGGAGGGAATAAGGGAGTGTACAGGAATGATTGATGTCTTTCTTATGAGGTAATGGCTCTGTTGTCTGATTTTCATTGGCTAACAAAGTGTATAAAGCAATGCTACCAATTTTCTAAGGCGTGGCACTTCTGGATGTAACTCTGCCAGGTGTTCCAGATTGTCGACCACCCGGCTGCTTAATTTGATCAAATAAAGTGCTGCTTGATCACGAAGTCTCCGCTTGGGTTATCTGATTAGATCAGTGGTTCTCAACCTTTTTAATGCCGCGACCCCAACCGGTCGTAAGTCGAGGACTAAACCGGTCGTAAGTCGAGGACTAAACCGGTCATAAGTCGAGGACTAAACTGGTCGTAAGTTGAGGACTAAACCGGTCGTAAGTCGAGGACTAAACCGGTCGTAAGTCGAGGACTACCCAACCGGTCGTAAGTCGAGGACTTTCCCTGCCCGGGAGCGCCGCGCATGTGTGGTTCCTCCCCCTGCGCCGGCCGAGGTGTAGCTGGCAAGCGGCAGAGACGGAGCAGGCCGACAACCAGATGGCCCAGCCCAAGGGAGGTAAGGCACCCGCCGGAAAAGGGGGAAAAAATGGCGGACAAAAAAAATGGCGGACAGCCTTGCTTGGCGACCCCCATGAAATGGTCGATCGACCCCAAATGGGGTCCCGACCCACAGGTTGAGAACCACTGGATTAGATTGATATGGTATCTCAAGTTTAAGTAAGGGACTGGGACACTTACAAACGGAACCAGGCTGGTGAAGTCCCAAGTTCAGACTTGTAAGTTTGCCACCTCAACTATTCACTCTTTGATCACAAGAGGGAGACAAGGATTCAAAGTTTGATTTAACCCACACCGTGAATCTTTAAATTACAAAGAGAGAAGCAGAAACCAGCTGGATTTCACGAGAAGCATCTCGGAGGAACTGGGTATGTCTAGTTTAATGAAGATGAAATTGAAATTCAATGGTCAAAAAAGTAAGGTTCTACATTTAGGCAAGAAAAACCAAATGCACAAGTACAGCATAGGTGGCACCTTGCTCAATAGTAGTAACTGTGAGAGGGACCTCGGAGTCCTAGTGGACAATCACCTAAATATGAGCCAGCCGTGTGCTGCAGCTGCCAAAAAGGCCAACACAGTGCTGGGCTGCATTAACAGAGGGATAGAATCAAGATCACGTGAAGGGTTAATACCACTTTACAATGCCTTGGTAAGGCCACACTTGGAATACTGCATCCAGTTTTGGTCACCGCGATGTAAAAAAGATGTTGAGACTCTAGAAAGAGTACAGAGAAGAGCAACAAAGATGATTAGGGGACTGGAGGCTAAAGCATATAAGGAATGGCTGCTGGAATTGGGTATGTCTGGTTTAATGAAGAGAAGGACGAGGGGGGACATGATAGCAGTGTTCCAGTATCTCAGGGGCTGCCATAAAGAAGAGGGAGTCAAGCTATTCTCCAAAGCGCCTGGAGGCAGGACAAGAAGCAACGGGTGGAAACTAACCAAAGAGAGAAGCAACCTAGAACTAAGGAGTAATTTTCTGATAGTTAGAACAATTAACCAGTGGAACAACCTGCCTCCAGAAGCGGTGAATGCTCCAACACTGGAAGTTTTTAAGAAGAGACTGGACAGCCATTTGTCCGAAATGGTATAGGGTTTCCTGCCTGACCAGGGGGTTGGACTAGATGACCTTCAAGGTCCCTTCCAACTTTACTATTATTATTATTATTATTATTATTATTATTATTATTATTATTATTATTATTATTATTATTATTATTATTATTATTATTAAGAGAAGGACGAGGGGGGACATGATAGCAGCCTTCCAGTATCTCAGGGGCTGCCTTCCAACTTCTCTTGAACGTTTCTGCTGCTTTTGGGTCAGGTGGCTGTGGCGTAACACAAAAGCAAGAATTTATGACTCAGCCCTACACACTGAACCGGTCCAGTGTGCCAAAAGGGGCTGGGTTTCCTCCAGATGTCCATATTAATTACTGTAATTGCACCCAGCACCGTGTTCCTCCTGGGCTGGCAGAGGCCACAGACTTTGCCCCTTCCTCCCGCAAACAGCACCACAACGTTGGGTCAGCATCTTCAGTCCAAAGAAAGTGGAACGGGCTCGGCTGCTAGGATGAAGATTGAATTCGCTCCTCACCACAACCCGTGGGAGAGACGGCTTCAGACGGCTTCAGTGCTTCAGTGGTTCTTCTATTTTTTCTGCATGGGTAAAAAAAAAAAAAAAAGATGGTTATTCCTAATTAAGGGGACATTTTTAAGGGGGGGGAGGAAGGGAGGGGGCTGTCTTTTAAGGCAGAGGTTCCCAACCTTTTGGGCACCAGGGACCGGTTCCGTGGAGAGAGTTTTTTCCATGGATGCCTGCATCCCGCAGATGGGGCTTTTCTTGTTTGTGTGGACTGGTTGCTGTCATGCGGTGGCCTGGTACTGGTCCACGGACTGGGGGTTGGGGACCCCTGTTTTAAGGGGTTGCCAGAAAAATCTCCACCGGTGGCTTGCATTGCGCAGCAAAACCGAGGGGTACATTTTGCAGAAATAAGACTCTGAGATGGACAGGGATCCGTTTTGCAAGCTCCTTCTGGCAGGGATCTACCTTTCTTTTTTTTGTTGGCCTCGACTTACAACAACTCATTTAGTGACCAACGTCACAAGGGCACTGGAAAAAGTGTCTTATGACTGTTTTTTCAAGCTGACAACCGTCGCAGCAGTCCCACAGTCAGATGATCAAAATTTGGACGCTTGGCAACTGGTTCATATTTATGATGGTCGCAGCGTCCTGGGGGGAATCACGTGATCCCCTTTTGCGATCTTCTGTCAAGCAAAGTCAACGAGGGAAGCAGGATTCACTTAACCGTGTTACTAACTTAACTGCAGTGGTTCATTTGTGGCAAGAAAGGAGTAAAACAGGGCAAAATTGGAGGCAGGAAAAAAAAAAAATCTGCATTTCTAGTCACCGGCAGCATTTATTTGATTTACCAAAAGAGAAATTCTGTGAAAAAGTGTTTTTCTGGGACTAGGACAGAGATAGGCAATGTTGGCATTTTTATGACTTGTGGACTTCAACTCCCAGAATTCCTGAGCCAGCATGGGGGAATTTGCTTCACAGCTTTTGCTTCACACTGAAATTTGCTTCACACCACCAGCACTTATTTGATTTACCAAAAGAGAAATCCCATGCAAAAGTGTTTTTCAGGCAGGGATCTGAGGTAGGCAACCTTGGCTCTTTTATGACTCTTTCAACTCCCAGAATTCCTGAGCCAGCATGGGGGAACTATGGTCCTTTCATAACTCAAATAAGCAGGGGATTGTGATCCAAGATAACTCAAATAAGCAGGGGATTGTGATCCAAGACGAAGAACTAGATTTCGACAGGGAGAAGTGTGAATCAGCTACTACACATCAGTCATGCAAGAACAGAAAGGCATCCAAAAAGAGAAGCTACCTTCTGGTAGGTGATTCAATTATAAGGGATGTAAATTTAGGAAAGGACACAGAGGCTTCGAAAGAGGTCAG